TCAACAAAAATGTGAAGTTTGGTCCCCAAGATCAAGAGATTTGGGGGCTCTGCAGCGTTAATAGAGGTTTTGGTGGCAGCTCTAAAGAAGGGGCAACCTCGCCTGATTCTTCTCTTCCTCTTTTTTTCCCCTTCCCTACTCTAGGCCTAGGAAAGGGGTTCCGGCAAACTCGGGACGACAGCTAGTCACTACTGGCCTCCTGGCGAGCTCCTGCCGCACCCCCCCTCTCGCAGCGGGCCATGCAAACTTCCCTGTCCCGCAGCGCGGGCCGCATCCTCTCGCTCGCGAAAAACGCGTTTCGGTGCGACGGGAGCAGCTGAGAAGGATGCGCGCAAACCCATGTCCTCCCCCACGCGAGGACCCCACCCACGACTGAGCAGTCTGGCCTCCTACCCCTCCGCTATTCCTGTAGCTTCCAAAGCTGCGGTCCAGGGCCCTCTGCGCTGCCGCCCTCCTCCCGGGTGGGCCCCGGGTCCTCTCTCGCCCCGCAGGACAGGGGAAGGCGGGAAGGGGAACCGCGGCCAGGGGCAGGCCGTTACCCTCCGTCAGTCGCGGGCTGCCGGGATCCCTGCTCCGCTCCACGGCGCCCATGTCCAGCTCCCGGACGGGAGAGCGCCCTCCTCCAGCTCCTCCGCCTGCTCCTCCTCCTCCAGCACCTCCTCCACCTCCTCCGCCTCCGCCTCCGCCTCCTCCCGCGCCGCCGCCTCCGCCGGCCGCCCGGACTGCCGGGCTGCTGCGGTCGTCGCGGCCCGCCTCGATGCAGCCCGGTTCCTTGGTCCCACGCAGCGGCCCGCTCTCTAGCACCTCCCGGTACGTGATGGCCTCCTTCTTCTCCTTCACTTTCTGGTCAAAAGACTTGGAGACGAACGCTGTAAGTTCTTCCATCGCGGCAGCTGCCGGTCAGCCTCGCGCTCAAGCTCTCCCTGCCGAGCCCCGCTCTTTTTTTCCTCCTTCTTTTTTTACTGCTCCAGCCCCCCCAATAATAACACATCAATGGGGCAGGGGGTGGGGGAGGAGAGGGAGGAGGAGGAGGAAGAAGAAGAAGAGGAGGAGGAGGAGGAGAAGAAAGAAGAGAAGTAGAAGGAGAAAAAGAAGTAAGAAGAGGAGGAGGAGGAGGGGACAGGGGGGACAGGGGGGAGGAGGGAAGGGGCGGGGGCCGCCAGAGGGAAATGGGAACTGATGCTTCCCTGCCGGAGCGCGCGTGTTCAATGTTAAGATCTTTGACAATTCTTCCTGCGGAGAGTTCAGATCTGATAGCGACGCGGCTCTTGAAGTCTCACTATTTATACTTCCTAAAGGCGGCCCCTTGTTCTGAGTAAATTACCTCCCCTCTCGCAACTCCGAGTGAACCCCTTCGTGGGTAGCAGGAGCGCCACTACCTGGGGTGGGGAGGAGAGGGAGTGAGGGAGGCAGAGAGAGAGAGAGGGAGGAGAGAGAGAGGGAGAGAGAGGGAGGGAGGGAGGGAGAGAGAGAGAGAGAGAGAGAGAGAGAGAGAGAGAGAGAGAGAGAGAGAGAGAGAGAGAGAGAGAGAGAGAGAGAGAGAGAGAGAGAGAGAGAGAGAGAGAGAGTGTTCAGGCGAGGGAGAGACTATGAATATGAATAGGAATGTGAATATGAATGTGAATATTGAGGATGGAGGATCCAGGCAGGAGTCCACCCGGTTGGAGTGGGGAGGGCAAGCAGGGGACCCGAGGGGGGCGGGGAGAGGAGGCAGGTCCTCGGCTCCTCGGCGGTCGGGGTTTTCTGATAGCCTCGGCCGCCGGTGCTCTTGGCCATTAATCCAGGATTGACAAGAATCCCTAATTAATTTAATTAAGCGTGGGTTTCGCGTTGGTGTCACGACTTAGTAAAACACTGGGGATCTGGATAGACTTCTCGGAGGCGGGGCCAAGAGGAAAACCGACAAGTGCACTGCCATCCGAGTCAGTGGGTATCTTCCGAGAGGACCCGACCCTACAGCCTCGCTCTGGGTGGGCACACCAAACTGCTCGACCCTACACCGATGACCCCTGGTCTCTGGCCCGGCACCGGGCGGGCGCTCTATTGTGAATAAGGGCCCAGCAACCACTCCAGCATTCCGGTCCCACACCCCCTTCCTTCTTGAGGCCGCTGCAGCTGCACAACCGTGCCTGCTGCAAGAGGGGCTTCTCGACGGCTCCTCGGACTCCTTCACCTCCTTTTAGGATCTTTCCGACCCGCAGCCAGCCTTACCGAGTGCGGGGCTCTGTAATTCACGCTACTACTGGCTCCTTGGAGTCAAAGCTGACTCCCGTGAAGACATTTCCCGCTACAAGGTCGATTTAACTTGTTTCCTGAACAGTTGTTCCCCTGACAGATCCGGTTTTAAGGTGTTTTCTTAGAGCCGGGTCAGGCGCAGTTCCATTTCTGAGGTCTCAGGATTCTTACTCTTTTTCCTTGCAACCCCCTGCACCCTGTCCTCAATTATTTAGCATCCCGGGAAGCATTTTCTAATTTGAAAAACAAAGGATTATCACTTTTGGAATTCTTCGGGAAAAAAATTACCGACGTTTGTCTCTTGCCTAATTTTTATTTACCGTGGACCGTGGAAAATTACTTGCTCTTCGGAGGGGGGAAAACCCAACTCCCTTTCTCTCTGATTTAAAACTTAAAAATTATATTTTTGATTCATTTTATGAAAACTATTTGTTATATGGAGGAACGCGTCGGTGTTCTGTAAGCCAGGGCTTGCTGTGTGACTTTTTAGCTATGCAAATACTTGCTTATGCGCACAAAAGAATATTTACATATGGAAAGTTACATGTACTTGAATGTGTAAACAAATATACCCCCTTTAAGTGCCGGTTTGGGGGCATTTTCAGTACACTAAATATTAATGAGGTTTGTCTGATGTTAAAAGATAATGTTTTCGTTATCTTGGATCCAGTACTCAGTAAAAATGAAAGCAGTTACAGACCATTAATATGCACATCTTCTACTTATTGGTTAGAAAAACACTTAACAAATAATTTGAGAAGTTCCATCAAAGCAACCAGAAACATTTGTAAAGAGAGCACAATTGTAAAGTGACACATAAGAGTTTCTCAAGTAAGTGTAATTTAAGACTTATGTAACTTCATGTAATACTAAATACTCCTCAGACTACGCTGCACATTTAATGGGGATAAAAATAAACCTTATTGGAAATGCTGCTTTACTTTTTCTTTACATTATTTTTCTTTTATGCTTTTAGGACAAAAGCTTACCTTTACACTATTAACAGCAATAGCATTTAGGCATTAATGAAGTCTACAAACACTTGCTTTTATTATTCCACAAAACTAAAAAACTTAACATTTCTAATTTATAGGAATTTTGGAAGAATGTCAGAATGAACATTGGTCTACTACCTGCAATAGTGTAATTCTAATCAGAGAGCAGGAGAATCACAAAATTTTAGTCTTTTATGAAACTGTTTTTAAAGATTATTTAGAATCAGTAATGGGATCTGCTAAGTTGGTGTGGTGTTCCAGTGACTCTCAAACTGAATCATGAAATACATATTCACAAACACCTTCCAAATAACCTCCACTAAAAGCCTGATAAGGCATCAGGAGGCCCCCCATATATATATATTTTAATCCTTTTAAGCACATACGTTCAATCCAAACTCATTTGCCATCTTCCTAACAAGGGGAAAAGATGACCACTTTAAAGGTAATCAGAGAAGGCTCGGACATGACTGCTGTGTAATCTGAACCAACAGATTTCCCCTTTATTTCATCTTCTTGACTCATTTTAACTGTAGGGATGGTAGATGAAGTGATGGTAAATCTCCAGAGTCTGGCTATGGGGCCCTACTTTCATAAAGGAAGTTTAATTTAAAATTTTATTAGTGCATAATTGTGTAGGTAGGTTTCTTTCTGAGTTTTCCATATATTATATAATATACCTCTTCTATTAGCCTCTTATATCCTGACCCCTTCGCTTTCCACACCCCTAATAGTTTCAAGAAGCCCAAAGTTTCAAATCATATTAATAAACAATATGATGTATGATGCTGTTTCACTAAACAGCAAATATTTTCCTGAGATAAGACATTTTAAAAACCAGTTTTGAAAAGTAAAATTATTGAGGTTAAAGTTCAGCCTAAGGACAGATATATACGCTCAAAAAAAAAAACCCAAAACAAAAACCCCAAACCCCAAAACAAAACAAAACAACAACAACAAAAAATCTTGGACCCCAAGAGTTCCCCCAGCTCTTGAATTATTTATTAAAAAATGTAGTGTTGAAGTTATGTTTTAAAAGGATCCCTCAAAACTGGCTAGTTAAGGCACAGCTATTTCCCAGGAATCGATCTATATTGGAGGTGATTTGCATCTCAAATGTCTGTGGAAATCTGTACCTTGGTATCTAGCTAACAGTCGGCCAAAACTCAGGCTAATATTTTATATATCTCCTTAGCTTTGCTTCCTTATACTAATTGATGAAAAAAATTCATACAAGGAAAATATGGTATGAGCTACAGAAAATGCCGCATGTCTTTTATTTTGGTAGTTGAAGTTTTTCATAAATTCACACATTTGATTTCTGTTCTAGAAAAATCTTCTCGCTTCGGGAAGATTTCTTCCCTCTATTCAACGGTTACTTTAATGTGAGAACTAATTTGTGTCCAGTCGGTGAATGCCTTCACCTTCATGGCAGCAAAAAAAAAAAAAAAAAAAAACCCTCACACCGATTTTTAATGTATTTTTGCAAATAAATCATTACAATTTAATGACACACGACTCTATGCAGACACACTTCCATGATTCCATGATTTATTATTGTTGGGCGAATTTCCACCTCGCTCAACAGGAACTAACCAATTTTGCTCAGCCCCGATGTCTTAAGCATAACTTCCCACGATGTAGATGCTTACTGATTATCTGTGACGATAACGGCGATCACTAAGGCAGTAACACCCCACAGTCCCACCTTTATTGCTTTTTGGGAAACAAGAAAATCCAATTATGCAAACACGCGAAACAAGCATTAAACAAAAAATTGGCGGCATGACAATCCACTCGCTCGGCACTCCTAAAGGCCTAGCATCGACGCACTCGGCAGTTCCGCTGGCTCTGCCTGGCGCAGGAACCAGGAAGGCGCTGAGCTTAAACTGCAGCAAGTACGGAGGGCGCCGGCGGCGCCGTGGTTTGAAGAGAGGGTTCCAGGTCCCCGCGTCCGGAGGTGAGAGCTCCAAGGACGACCTAGGTGATGCCCGCGTCCAGAGCCTGGGGAACTGGGGGGCGGCGCCCGCGAAGGAGGCGCCGGGAGGCCCTGCTCCGCGCGAGGCGGCGTGGGGCCTGGCGCAGCCCGGTGGCAAAGGTTGCGCCGTGGCCCGCGGCGTGCGAGCGGAGCCGCGCGCATGCGCCTCGCACCTGGGAGGGTCCCCCGCTTGCTGGCCCCGAGCTAGGGGGGCCGCGGGCGTGGGCGGTTGTGGGCGGCGAGCGGGCCGCAGGCCTCAGGCTCGGCCCACAGTCTGGAGGTGGCGTGGAGAGTTAGCCGCCCCTTTCCGCCGGTCCCGGGTCTCGACCGCCGTTCTCGGGCTTCCTAGTTGTCCCGCCTTAACCTCCTAGTTCACCCTCACCGCCTCCAGGTAGCTGGAGCGAGGGGGTCGCGGGGTGGGGGGCGGAGGAAGGCTGAGTCTGGTACCCACCGCCCCTCCTGTCTAGTCTAGCTGCTTGTTGACACGAGAGATGGCAACAGCAAGGCCAAACAGACCTTCCTCTCTTGAAAGATGCCACTTTTAAGCATTTTGTGAATGTCTTTCCGACTTCAGGATTTTTTGCTCACGTGACCAGATGGCTTTCCCCCTTGGACTCTTACTTTGCTGAGAAGTAAAAATGAATGTTGCCTTCCCTAGATCTTAGGCTATTATTAGTGTAATTTCTGAGTTGTATTTTAAATATGCTTATTGGGGAGAAAATCTAGAACCGTCAGTAACCGAGTCCCCCCTTCCCCCTCAACTCACTAAGTAGCGGGTTGTTAAATAAATTCAGGTGTCATGTGTTGGCGTATGAAGGTATTCGAATTGTCATCTTTGAACTTCGTTGTAAAAGCTCCCAGGGAAGGGGCTATGTAGAGTTTTCAGGTTTTAAGGAGTGGAGCGGATGTGACAGGTACGACCTTGTGGGGAAACTAGGTATCCTTTGAGAGCCTCTCTAGTCTTAGAGTTTATGAATATTCACTTTCTTTGCAGACAAAGAAGATTTCTTGCTAAGTGGTAACACTTTATTACTGTATGTTCAATAAGAGGGCTAAAAATCGTCTGAAGCTGAAAAAGAGAAAGGCAGCTGGCACTTGTCTGTTAATTGGCCTCGCTGACCCAGTCTTTACAAATTCAGCATGTAGAGTTGTGATAGGAATTGCTTGTCATAGGGTTGTTGTAGTACATTTACAGATATCCTTTTCTGGCTGCACTCTTAGACCACAGGAGGGGAATCCTATGATTTGTGAGTTTAAAAAGAGATGCTGATACACAGAATTTTGTTGTTGCGACAGGAGTTTCTTATTTCATTTTTTAAATTTAAATAAAGTTATTTTCATAAGCTACATTCTGATCACAGTTTCCTCTTGTCTCCCAGATCCTCTCCACCACCCCACCCTTCCAACTCCATGCCTTTTTCTCTCTCTAAGAAAACAGGTAAATAAAAAGACAAACGAGGATAAAATAAAATGAACACACAAAAAAGAAAGACCGTGAGAAATACATACATACACAGAAACACACTCACAAAATCCAATTATGCAAAACCTATAAAAACTCAAAATTGGAAACCATAATATACAAACAAAAGACCAGTATGGTTAAAAAAATTGCCCACGCAAAACAATATGAGACAGAAATATCTTCAAGAATACCTTATGTGTTTATTTTGTGTTGGCTGAAATACTACTACTGAAAATAGGGCCTGCCCTAAAGTCTGGTTTGTGTACCCACTGAAATTCCCTTAGAGAAGCGGAGTTTTTCTTTCGAGCAGTTGTCAGTTGCTGATAGCTTCTTGGTTGGGGATGGGAGCACCTGTCTCCTTCTCCATCTCCATGCTGGGACCCTGTGCAACACTGGGGGATCTATGTAGGTCCTGTGCATGATGCCACCACAGTCCCTGTGAGTTACTAAGTGTGTCAGTCATAGGAGGAGTGTTTTGACAGAATTCTTTATTTCTTTTGAATTTTGTCTTGTTATACCTGAATTTTACCTCTATTCTTTCAATTCCTTTGCATAGTTTTCTGTTTGTGGATTACATAGTATGTTAAATAGTGTCCACCTCATTTTACTTTGTTCTGTTTTTTTTTTTGTTTGTTTGTTTGTTTTCTAGTGCATCTGGCAGTCCAGGTTGGACTTGAACTTGCTTTGTAGTCTAGAACCTATCTTGCTTCTACTGTCCAGGTGATGAGATTGTAAGCATGTGCCACCACACAAGCCATTTTACTTTTTCGACCTTTTATTGAGGGAGGGGGCATGTCCTCAGGATCAAATATTATATTTTGGTTTTTAATGAAATACTGTGGCAAAGTACTTATAAATTGACATGTCCTCCATGAACCTTTGTTCCTTTAAACTAATTGCCTATTTTCTGAAACATAATAACTGATTCTTTTATTCTTATTAAGGACATGTGCCTTTAAGTTCTCTATTATTAAAATGGTCACATCTTTATATTTTCCATCAGCCACCTGAACTTTACAATAAAAAATTTTAAATTGTTGTCTTGTAGTCATTATCTGTTATGGCTTAACTTCTATAGAAGGAGTAATTGGGTGAGATTTGCAGCCAGGAAGCTGAAGCCAGGAAGAGCTAGAGTGAGAACAGAAAACCAAGAACTGTGCTGTGTTTTACAATTACTGATAGGTTGAAATTAGTTACTTTGTGGAACTGCTAAAAAATCTGATCACTTTGTCATTGTCTTTATGCTAGGAGCATTTCCATGCATTCACCTTACTGGTAGAGTTAAGTGTAAAGATTCTTCCTTTCTACAAGAATCTCATATAAATTGATGGCCATGACTTGAATGAGCAAGAATATTCAGTTATATGCTGTATTACTTTTCTCATAGCATTGACAAATGCCTGACAAAAACAAATCACAGAAGAAATGGTTTGCTTTGCTCCACAGTTTGAAGGTACAGTCCATCGCGGTAGGGACATCATGGAGGCAGCAGCCTGAGCAAATTGTGTCTGTGGTCACTGATGAGTACTGGTGTTTTGCTCACTTTCTTCATTTTTTCCAGTTCAGGATTCTAGCCCAAATTCTGGTTCTTCCCCCTTCTGGAAATACTCTCTTAGACACACGTTGGTGATTCCAGATAGGTTGGGTTGACCATGAAGATTAACCATCATCTTTGCTAAGCACATAACAATAGTGTATTGAGAACTGAATACCTGCCAGTTATAGAGAAAAACCTTTTTGTAGTCTCCCTCTGATTTTCTGCTCATGAAGGATATCATTTGTAATTAAAACAAAAGAAATTTATACCCACTTGCTATGTTCTGATTTTTGGTTACCAAAATATACATGGCCAAATAATTGTCCATCTTTTTTTTTCTTCATGTTTATCCTGAACTAGGGAATTACTTAAGCAGGACAGGAATAGAGAATGGAGATGCCTGCAGAAAATTTAGGACAGTGCATCTCAAACTTTTTAGTCTCATGATCCTTTTCTACTCTTACAAATTGTTGAAGATACTCCATAACTTTTATTTGTGTTCTCTATAAATATTTACCTCACTAGTACTATAAACAAAGTTATAAACTGTGTATGAATTCACTTAAAATAATTATAAATTTGGTAACAAAATTTAAAATAGCTGTATTTTAAAAAACAAAACAAACATTGAGAAAGCAGCATTATTTTCTAGTTTTGCAAGTATCTGATGTCTGGCTTGCTTGATGACAATGGCATTATCATATTTACTTCTGCATTCAATTTATTGAGCATTTAAAATTTTTTAAAATTTTTTGAAGGTTGGTTTTAATGTGGTATTTGAAACCATATCACTGAACTTTTCTTGTATTATTTATCTTTATTGCATTAAAATCTTTTTGTCTTGCACTGTGAATGAATCTGTGGATGATTTTTGTGACATTATGCCTTGGCAATTGGAAAAATACTGCTTTACTGAATTAGACATGTCTTTCAAATGTTGGCACCCTTTATTGTATATCAAACATTCATGTGTATTAATATTGCCATTGATCTTAGGAAAGAAGAGGTCTGACTACTAGAGAGATACAAATGATCCAAAATTCAAATCTTTTAGTTAAGACCTGACTTTTATGATTGGTGACAACCGTTAATTTTCCTTGAGGTAAAAGGCTATCTTCGTTCAGTCTGAGAAATGCTGCCAAATAGCCAAGCCTAAGTGATCATCTATTGGCAGTTTTACAACAGAAATCATGTTTTATAATAAAAGCAACTAATTTAGCTTTCAATTCAGTTGCACAATTTTTTTTTTCAGTTTAGGAAAACCAGCATCGTTCACTATATGATAAAAATTATATATATTGAAATTTAATAAACTTAGTGATTTTTATTCCTTTGCAAGGGTGTTTTTTGGGAATGTGGCATGTGTGCTGTTGCTGGACTGAGTATTGAACCTTGGGTCTTACATGAGCTATGCAAGTACTCTACCACTGAACAGGATTCTTGGCCCTACCAAGGACATTATTATTTGAGACTCTAGTGGGATATGGAGTGGGGAGGGAGCAGGGAAGAATGCAATGACCCTAGCATAGTTTGCTTCTTCTTTGATTCTTAAAATTCAAAAAACCAAAAAAAGATAATATTTGTAAATTATAATGAAAATAATTTTACCTCATGAATTTCCTGACTTGAAGGGTCCTTGGGCTGTCTTTTGGGAGCTGTTGGTATACTGGAATTGAATATGTTGGAAGGCAAGGACTTCCTGTATCATGCTCATTGATGTTTCTCTCATCCAGAGACATTTACCCATCTTCAGTGTTAAACTCCTCACATTTTGAATCTTGTTTTTGTTATGTTTGTTTTCCTTCTGGTGAAGCACACTGTTTGGAAACTTCCTGAAGAAGGGTGAACATGACATCTAGTTTTGGGAACTTAAATTTCTAAAAATGTCTTTTTTCTAATTTCACAGTAGATCACTGATTAGGTAAGACAGATGGAAAGAGACGAGGTTGAAACTAGTTTTTCAGAAATTTGATGGTGAGTTTCCTTTGTTTCTTGTGTTGCTATTTGAAAAGCCTGTGCATTTTATTATGCTTTCCTTTCTTTATTTTATCTTACTTTATTTTGTGACTCTTTGGAATTGTCTGGGATGTTCTTTTTATTCTTGGTGTCTAATTATTATTATTTCTTTGTTTGGGTTCAAAAGGGCCTTCTGTATACAACATCTCCAGTGTCTGATTTATTTTTCTAAGTTATCCCTGGTATATGCTTATTTTTTTAAAATTTCACTATCTCAAGTACTTGGGATATGCATACTTTTTAATTTTTAGAGATTCCTTGATGTATTTTTTCTCATTGTTTTTTCTATTCTTTTGTAATGGCATCTTTATCAGTAAAATATTGGATTTTCTGAATAGATGTCTTTAGTTTTATTTTAAGGTTTTCAATTTTTTTCATGTTTGCCTCATTTTCTTTTCACCTTCCACGAGTGTTTGACCTTTTCCAACCTCATCTTGTCTGTCATTTGTTTAAACCAAGCGCTCTCCTTGGAACATTTTCCTATTTTTTGCTGGGGCATCTTTTCATTACCCACCTGAAGATATTAATGCGTTTTTGTTCTTGAAGTTTTTGTTGTTTTTCTCTGTGTGCTCCCACTTTGCTATCAGTTGCTTTGTTTCTGTTTACTGCCTTCCGGTTGTTATGGTTATTGTTTACTTTTGTTTTGTGTTGCTGGGTGTTGAGTCTAGGGCCTCACAGCACCAGTGAGATGCTGCAGTGCTGAACCGTGTCTCAGAGGCTATCTCTTAGGACTGAGGTTTTCTTTACCTCATTGACTCTCGTGTTGTGTATCCACTAAAAAGTTCACAGAAGAAGCCTTTATAGAAAAAGTTTTTTTCTGTTTATATTTGAGCTTGTCAGCTGTGGGCTATGCTACAGGGTAACTGGATGGGAGCCTGCCATTTCGTTCATGGGTCCTTCAGATACATTGTCCATTGGGTACAGGTCAGTTTTTTAAAAAAAATTATTTATTTTACAAACCATCTGCAGTTTCTACTCCCTCCCCTCCCTCCCATCTTCCCTCCATTACCCCACTCCAGCCCAAAATCTCCTTCTCCATTCCTCTTCAAAAAAAGTCAGGCCTCCCATGGATATTAACAAAACAGGACATGTCAAGTTGCAGTAAGACCACATACCTCCCCATGTATTAAGGTTGGGCACGGGGCCCAGTATGAGGAATAGGGTCCCAAAAGCCAGTTAGTTGATTCTTTGGGTTTTTTAGATATCTTATTTCCTTCTAAGGATGTGTATGTACTTGTTTCAGAATTTCTACTTAACCCCTTTAACTTTTAGTGCCTCCCCCACTTAAAAAAAACAAACTCTTAGACCTTGTACTCCCCTTCTAATACACCACATGTCCTGCTGGGGTGGGAGAAGGCTCATCACCTGGCCAGCTTGGCATGGGGAGGGGACCTGAGACTATTTCTTGTACAGAAATTCATTCAGTTCCATGTTTCTAGCTTTATGCCTTATTGTGCCTGTGTGGTGTGTTTCAGACTCCCAATTCATTCTGATTTTTGTCCTATGAGTTGGCTTTTTTCTTGTTGAAATTTTCTGCAAGTTGCTTTGTATTTGTTTTTGTAGTTTTAAATCCTTTGTCAGTTTTTCATTTGCTAAAACTTGATTTATCTTGTCTGTTGTTCCCTGTTGTCTTCTAGTCTATTTGTTTTCTTCTGAGACAATTTCTCTGTGTAGTCCTGGATCTAAGAGATTTGCCTGCTTCTGTCTCTGGAGTGCTGTAATTAAAGGCATGTGCCACTACCATCTAGGTGTCTTCTAGGTTTTTTTTTTTTATTCTTGTGAATTTACTTTTTAATTCCTTTAATCATGCTCCACATTTATTTATTTGTTTTAAGCCTGGCTGGCCTCCCCTAGTTGTGCATTCATCTGCCTATCTATCTATCTATCTATCTATCTATCTATCTATCTATCTATCTATCTATCTACCTACCTATCATCTGTCATCTATCTATTATCTATCTATCTACCTATCTATCATCTATCTATCTATCTATCTATCTATCTATCTATCTATCTATCTATTTTAATCTTGTGGAAATCCACCTACCCTTATCCCCCAAATGCTGGGATTCCAGGTATTGTGCCACCATACCTGACACTTCAATATTTTTTAAGTAAGAGTATAAAACCCTGACATTTCAGTATTTTCTAAATGAGAGTATAAAAGACCTAATAAAAAGTCATCTTAATTTAAATATTTGTTTGTGGAAAGGAAAACTTACATGTTTTTTCTTTTGTTTTTGAGACATGGTTGCATCGTGTAGGCCTGCTGGTCTGAAGACCTGAAACTTGTTTTGGAGACCAAGTGGGTTTTCTTGAACTCACAGAGATCTGCCTGCCTCTGTCTCCTGTGTGCTGGTTTTAAAAAATGTGTACTGCTACACATGTCAATTTGTCAGTTCTTAAGATGTAAACAAAACAAATTAAAGAGGAATAAAAAGCCAAGAAGTAAGAAAATGTTATTATCACCTCTGAATTGGGTATGTATTTCTTATACTTAAAAATGTATACCTGTACAGGGATACCTAATGTAGATATAATATATGTAGATCTATAAATAGCTATTATATAATTATGTGTTTGGAAGCATGTAGCTGTGTACTTTATACAAGTGCATATGTGTACATTGTATGAATACATATAATTTCATGAACATTGCTTTTAAACGGAAATGATCATGATAAGCTTTTATTCAGGGCTGGTTTTCAGTTTGGAAGCTGACTAAGGATATTAGTGACTTACTGAAAGTTTCACATCCAGACTTCCCAGTGTTTGTTGGACATGTGAATTGAGTGCTTGTGAAAGCCTGATAACTTGAGTTTGATTCTCATAATCCGTGGTTCAAGGAGAAAAGCAACTCCCCAAAAATTGTTCTCTGTCTTCCACATTACACCAAGGTGCATACTTGGTCAGTATAGTATATATATTGTTGTGGGATCCCGCTTGGGTCCCAATGCCACTTTAGCCCCTAGATAACACACAGGACGCTTTATCAGTTATGAAGCTGTTGTCCTTTTGTCTTCAGAAAAATTGTTTTATATTTGAAACAATATATTATCACTTCAATACTGTTACTTACATTCTGGGGAAGAGGAATTGTAAGTTCATCCTTCAGGTCAGAGTAGTGAAAACAAAGTCAAAGCTGCTAGTGATGGCACCTACCTTTTATCCCACCCAGCATTTGGAGGCAGAGGCAGCTGGAGTTCTGTGAGAGCTGCTAGCCAGCATGGTCTATATAGGGAGCTGCTGGCCACTTGGAGTGACAATAGTAAGAACCTGTCTAAAACACAAACAGACAAACCCAAAGAAGCAAAATGTAGACCCTGGGCTGAGGCAGTGGTTATTTTGTTGCTTCCCCATGTGCCATGGAGTTTCCATCATGCAATTTGTGCTGTGCAGATGAGGGGCACTTTTGATTGTTGTGATGCCAGCTGAAGACTAGGTTTATAGCTGGGTAGTTCTGTAGTATCTGGCCAGGTGTGGTTAATTTTCATTAGTCACAGTCGTTTATGCTATTATGCCTGCTTGTGGTTCTGCCTGAAAGAACTACTATTTTCTTTTAGGGGCATGCATTCTGAACCATTCGTGCATTTCGGAAATCTTTATAAGGAACTATTTTCTTTTTGGTTATCTCTCTACCTGTTCATTTTAATTTTTATTTCTACGTACATGTTTTCCTATAGCTTCTCCATAGATATGATATGCTGATGCTGTAATAAAACCTTCATGAATTTTTCTTTTCTTTGAGACAGGATCATATATCCCAGGCTAGCTAGTCTAGCCAGAAGTTTAAGGTCCTCCTTCCCTACACTTCTGGCTTTCTTGCCTCCACCTCCCAAGCGTTGGGATTCTAGGTATCACTAACACTTGGAGTTTTTGGCAATGCTGGAGAATGTCTTGTTAGACAAGCAGTTTTCTAACTAAGCTACATGTCAATCCCATGCATTTATCTTTTTTAAATAAAAAATTTCATATATATTTCTAGAAATAGATTGTACTGTCAAAAAAGTATCAGAATTCTTTTTATTTTTAAATTAAATTGCTGTATGATTTCTGAAAGACTCATAACAAGCTAGCGTTGTGTAAAGAGCTGGCTGACTTCCCAGTAAGTATCAACTTTTGTACTTCAGTTAACTTTTCTTCCCTCAGTTTCATAAGTGAAATGATGATAGTGCATTGTTTCATCTCATACTTCCATAATGACTGGTAAGGTCTTCCCTTTTAAATATTTAGAACTCAGGGCCTGTAGAGGTGGCTCACCAGTTAAGAGCACAGATTTCCCAGAGGACCTAGGTTCAATTCCCAGCACCCACATGGCGGCTCACAAGCTTTTGTAACCACAGTCCCAAGGAATCTGATACGATCATTGGACACCATGGGCAATGCTTCATGTGGTGAACAGACATACATTCAGGCAAACACTTATACAGATAAAATAAAACTTAAGTAAAATCTAAAAAAAAAAAAAAAAGAGACCAAACCTTTAAGTATTTAGAACTCTGCTTGAAAAATATGACTCTAAAGTGTCTTTTACCTTCACGGAGTGTAAAAATGGAGGACTAAATGGTTAATTACTAAACAAAATTATCATACAGTTAATTATAGTGGCAACTTAAGCTGTCAGAAAATTGATATGATGAACTTTCTTTAGGATTGATATTCAAAAGACATTCAAAAAAGTTGGTGCAAATTCAAGTTGTTCAGAATATGTAAAAAGTTCATTGATAAGCTAGGAGATTGTGTCACATGCCTAGAAAAAAAAGCCAACCACATTTTACTTTAAAAATGTTAAGGTGTGGCTGGGTGTGGTGGCGTGTGCCAGTAGTCCTAGCTGCTCTGGAGGCATGGGAGGAAAATCAGTTGGACCCAGCTTAGGGAACATAGTTTTTTTTTCTTGAAAACTTTAAAAGTTTGTATCTTGAATTTCATTTGTTGCACTGCTAAGTTAGGAATGTTTTATTGTAAACTGTAGAGATGGGACGCCGGTCATCAGACACTGAGGAAGAAAGCAGAAGCAAGAGAAAAAAGAAACACCGGAGACGCTCCTCTTCAAGCAGCTCTTCAGACAGCCGGACATACAGCCACAAGAAGGGCGGGAGGCGGCCAAGGTCCGAGTCCAGGTCCTGGTCTAGAGACCGTCAGCCTCGCTCCCATTCTTATGAGAGAAGGTTAATGCTCATAATTTTTGTTTATACAACACAGAGAGTAATGTTCCTAAGAAGTCATGTTATTTTGTATTTTTAATTTGTTGAATAAAATAATGCTCTTTTAGTAGTTAGGTACTTAGGAGGGTTAAATCCCAACGCAGAGATTTTATTTTTTATTTTTTTCATTTTTTTTCCTAATCAGGCCTAGTATCTACATCCTTTGTATGTAAGCAAGCAGATAGAAGCTGGTATAGTTCTTGCATTATTTGATGATATTTGGAAAGATTGTATACTGCTATGACCCATAATATCATAAATATTACTAGTCCTGCTGTGAGTCATCTGTCTGGGTGTTGGAGACCAGTAATGTTTTATTTACTTGCTCTTCTTTGAGGCAAGAGGGAAACAGCAAGAATGAGACAATTTCAAACTCTCCCTGAATTCTCACAACCAAAACTTTGCATGGCAGTGAGACCTGTGGTTTATTTCAGGCGCAGGCACAGGTCAAGCAGCAGCTCTTCCTATGGCTCCCGAAGAAAACGAAGCCGAAGTCGTTCCAGGGGTCGAGGGAAGTCCTATAGAGCTCAGCGTTCTCGGTCCAAAAGCAGAACAAGAAGGTATGCCTATTAGTGCTCATTGCTTCTAACAGACTCTCCAGACCAGTGGCTCACAACAGCAGTGGTTTATTTTTCTTTGGGTTCACTGGCTTCAGAAGGCAACTCTGCTTTCCTCATTGGAGACTGCTCATGTAGTTGTCATTATCTGATGGCTCAGTCACTGATACATGTCTCGTTTCTTTCTGATTGTGGCTTCTCACTTTCTGAATGATGGTGGAAGTATCTGGAGAGGGAAGATCAGGGTGAGAACTAACATATTGTGTTATGGACTGAGCATTTATGTCTTTCCAAATTTTGTTAAGGCTTTTATCCCTGCACCTGTGTGTAGATTGGGCTTTTTATAGGAGTAATGAAGGTTAAATGAGGTTCTTTCGGGGGGCCCTAATCTCATAATGCTGTTGACCCTACAAGAAGAGGAAGTAAGGACTGGAGAGATGATGGCTCAGCAGTTACTATAACCCCAGTGCCAAGATACCTGCACATACACAGACACATTAGTAACGTTAAAAACGTAAACCTTAAAAAAAGAGAAGGAAACAGAGATCTTTCTGTTTATGCTCAGAGGATGTCATGGAAGGGCACAGTGAAATAGTTGCCTTTTACAGGACAGGTAAGAGTTCTCTCACAGGAAACTAAACTATCTGGCATTTTGATCTTGAACTTATAGTCTAAAAAACCCAGGAAAATAAATTCTTGTTTATACTGTGGTACTTTGGTGTGGCAACCCGAGCAGCCTAACGTTTTCTAGCTTTGTTTTAGGTCCATTGTAGGGAATAGTATGTTTGAGGAGTTGGGTATCTCAGACAGTGGTAGGAATTGTGATTCAGTAGAATAGAACCATGGTAATGAGGGAATTGAGGAAAACAGGTATGTAGAAGTTATTGCAAGTCTCTAGACAGAAGACTATTGGAATAAATGAAAGAATAAAAAGTTTCCCCTTCTTCCTCTTCTCCTAGTCCCTTCTTTCGCCCCACCCCACCCCTGCATTTCCACCTCCCATTCCACTCCTCTTTTGTTTTTGTAAAAATAATGTTTTAAAGATTGCTTCTTGTCTCTGCTTGTCTCTATGCAGTATTAGGCTTTAACTGGCTTGTTTAGTGTAACAGGCATAAAATGTATAATTCTCTTTGCATATGAAGCTTGATTGCAGTAAAGTCTAAATGTTCAGCTTCTTTGGGTTTTTGTTATTTGGCATTGGCCCCTCTGCCTTTTATTTATTTTGTGTATAAACCACTTTGTATAATACACTTTTGTTCTCTGTACATGCCCCAGAGTTCCAAGGTTTTGTTTTTATTTGCAGCTATATTGTTTGCCCTTTCTTCACAAAGACAACTTGGAAGTTTTCCTTCATTTCCAATGCTCAGGAACAAATTTGGGTTATTGAGAATCGGTTCTTTGAAGCTTTTGTAGATTTATGAAATCCTCTGGGCTCAATGCCATCACAGTAACTTTCTTCATTTCTTTAACAGAAACTGTACAGCTTGAATATTCTGTTTCATATGACTTACTTTTGATAAACTTTTCTTGTTTAGTACATCATCTATTTCATATGGATTTTAAAATAAATGTCTAGAAGTCTTCCTAATATCCTGTAATGATTCTAGGCTTTTATGTTATTTCAGTGCTTATTTTCCTTTTGTCTTTCATTAACTTATATATTATAACTTTTTTCCTATTTAAATTATCTGGTACATTACCTAGACTCAAAAGAAAAAAATGCCAGGCTTGCTCAGTACATGTCTGTAATGTCAGCATTTATTTAACAAGTTTGGGACCAGCATGGGCTACACAGACCCTGATTCAGAAAACAAGCTCATTAAAAAGTAGATTTTGATTAATTATGTCTTCTGTTTTTCTAAGTTATTAATTATTGTTTTTGTTCTCATTTCCTATTCTGTACTTGGTTTTTATTCACTTACTTTTCTAATTAAAAATAAATGTGTGTGTGTGTGTGTATGCATGGTCATGTTCATGCTGTAGCAAGTGTGTGGTCAGAGAACAACTTATGGGAGCTGACTGTTCCATTCCACCTAGTGCATTCCAGGGCGTGAGTTCAGCACCTTTACCCATTAACTGAGCTGGGAGTTTATATTTGTATGTGTAATTTTTATTGATAAAAGTGTTTAAGGCTACAGATTTTCCTGAAACCACAGCTTCAGTTATATTCAGTGGACTTTTCTCCCTTATAATATTAAAATTTTCATGTATATAGCAAAGTTGATAGAATTTTATATTGAATACTCATATATTCAATACTTAGACATTTCCATTAACTTTCTACTTTATTTATCACATACCTACTCATTTCTTCCTCTCTGTCCATTAATTTATCCTAAGGTTTGAATCCATAGTTTCAGATATCAGTATATATTCCCCTTCAATACTTCAGTGTCTACTCACAAAATTTAATATTTTGTAAATTTTTCTTTTGAAAAGATACTTTAAAACTTTTTCTTTTGTAGTAAAATTCATAAGTATTACAATGCACAATTATAAGCATACATTTTTGAACTTAACAAAGGCATATATCTTCTAAAATAATAGACCTTTATCATTTTCTGATAGTTCACTCATAACTTTTTTAATTCCTGCTTGCTAGATGAACTGGAACCACAGGTTTTGTTTCTTTTTGAATAGATTAATTTCACATATCTGCAGTCATATACAATGTTCATTTTGCTAAGGCTTCTTATTAGCCATAATACTTTTGAGATTTTTTTATTTTATTTTTTATTTATTTATTTTTTTGTGGGCTGGATTTTGAGACTTTGGAGGCTGTCCTGGAACTCACTCTGAAGACCAGGCTGGCCTCAAACTCACAGAGATCCACCTGCCTCTGTCTCCCGAGTGCTGGGGTTAAAGGCGTGTGCCACCACCGCCTGGCTGCTTTATTTACTTTATATGTGCTGATAATTATGTCTTTCCCTTGCTGAACAGTATTCTATAGTATGAATCTATTACATTTTATTTGAGAATTTTATGTAAATGTAATCATATGGTAGTAATATTTTGCACATTCCTTCTTAGCTTAATGCTCTCATATCAGTGCTTGTTACTTTTTATTGCTTAATGGTAAATAATGTCATAGTTTATTTCACTCATATGCTCATATATATATATATATGTATATATGTATATATGTCATTATTGCAAATTGGTGTTAAAATCTCTAACAGCCTGGCTGTCAAGCCCTAGGACCTGAGTTTGATTCCTGAGACTCACATGGTGGAAGGAGAAAACCAACTCCTATGAGTTGTCTTCAGATCTTCACATGTGCACCATGATATGCACATGCTCACACATATTTGCACAAAATAAGTAAATAAACATATGATAAAATGTCCTACTGTTATTGTGGCTAATATTTTTCATGTCATCTTTGTCAACATTTCCTTCATATATTTAGGTGCTCTGATGTTAAGTGCATAGATGCTCAAAATTGTCCTGCCTTCCTTGTGAATAGGCCAACTTATTTATTTATTTATTTATTTATTTATTTATTTATGGTTTTTCGAGACAGGGTTTCTCTGTGGCTTTGGAGGCTGTCCTGAAACTCGCTCTGTAGACCAGGCTGGCCTCGAACTCACAGAGATCCGCCTGCCTCTGCCTCCCGAGTGCTGGGATTAAAGGCGTGCGCCACCAACGCCCGGCTAGGCCAACTTATTATAAATCCACTTTCCCTCTTAATGCAGTCTTTGACTTACAGTCTATTGTTTGAGCTAAGTTTGGCCACTTCTATTCTTTTTGGTTACCGATTATATTGAATATCTGTTTCCATCCTTTGTTCAGTAGATGTCTTTTTAGCTAAGGCTGGTCTCTTTGTTTTGTTGGTCAAATCTGTTTGTTGACATTTTATACTTCATATAATGCTTTCTGTTTTTCCTCACTCCCACCTTCCATTAATCTTCTTCCTACCCATCATCATTCCTTCCGTACAAAGTCCCTTTTCCATACTCATATCTTTTTGTTTTGTGACCCACTAATTTTAACCTGGATCATTTTGTGGCCACTGGTGCCTGGTAGGCTCACCATTGACTACACAACTGAAGATACTTTGATGTTCTCCAGGATCTACTGGTAGCCAGTTGTTCAGCAGGGAGGAGTAGAGTCTCATGCACTCGTGATTAGCTGCAGACAGGCACAGTTTTGTGCAGACCCAGTGCAGTCAGCCACAGCTGCTGTGAGATAATTATTGCAATGGCTTTATCGTGGTCTGAAGATAGCATTTTACAGCCTTTCTTCCTACCTTCAGACTTACTTTCTCTCTGTTCCTTCTTTTGTGATGTTCCCCAAACTTTAGAGGGTTGTATAAATGTCCTGTTTATAGAGCTGAGCCCAGGCTTGTCACTTATTCTTAGTATTTTGAGCAGTCTGTGTTCATTACAGTTCACTGTAAAGAAAAGTTTCCATGATTAAGGCTGACAGTAGACTTGTTTGTGGTTATAAACATAAATACTTAGAATGTCGTTTGGTTCTGTCATGGTTTGAATGAAAATGGCCCCCCTAGACTCATAGGAAGTGGCATTATTAGGAAGTGTGGTCTTGTTGGAGTACGGATGGTGTTATTGGAGGAAGTTTGTCACTGGGGGTGGTCTTTGAGGTTTCAAATGCTCAAGCTAGACCTGGTGATTCTCTTTCTGCCACCTTCTGATCCAGATGTGGACCTCTTGGGTCCTTCTCCAGCACCATTTATGCCTGTGTGCTGCCCATGCTTCCCACAATGCTGATAATGGACTAAACCTCTAAACCTGTAAGCCAGCCCCAGTTAATATTTTCCTGGGGCTGGAGAGACAGCTCAGAGGTTAAGAACACTGGCTGCAGCCGGGCGGTGGTGGCACACGCCTTCAATCCCAGCACTCGGGAGGCAGAGGCAGGTGGATCTCTGTGAGTTTGAGGCCGGGCTGGACCGATAGCCTCCAAAATAATACAGAGAAACCCTGTCTCGTAAAAACCAAAAAAAAAAAAAAAAAAAAAAAAAAAAGAACACTGGCTGCTCTTCCAAAGATCCTGAGTTCAGTTCTCAGCAGCCAAATGGTAGCTCACAACCATCTATAATGAGATCTGGTACCCTCTTCTGGTGCTCAGGCATACATGTAGGCAATGCACTGCATATGTAATAAATAAATATTAAAAAATGTTTTCTTTATGAATCATGGTGTCTCTTCACAGCAATAGGACACTAAAATAGGTTCCATTCCAATTTATCTCCTGATCCTCCAATGT